TAGCCTTTGACCTCCCTGAACGTCGAGACACTACTATAGAAGCTCGAACAATTAACAAAAAAAAGGGATTTCCTAGGGTTCCTTGTTATGCAGGTATCTATCGATGGAAGGAGCCCGAAACCCTACTCTAATTACTAATTATTAACGAACAATTAACCAAAAAAAGGATTTCCTAGGGAAGGAGCCCGAAACCCTATTCCAATTATTTTAAGGCCCCCGGTGTGGCAAGGCCCCCGGTCCCGTCCTTTGCGGATGCATTCGCGCAGCCGAAGCCTGCTCTGGTGATCCTCGACCTGGACACGACGTTGGGGGCTGCACCCTAAACCCTAAAACCTAAACCCGAAAACCTAAACCCTAAACCTGAAACCTAAACCCTAAAGCCTAAACCCTAACCCAAAAAAAAGGAGGGCCCTTGATTTCGGGGACCTTGCAAGAAGAGTCCATCTATTATTGATCTAGGTTCTACCTTAACCCCGAAGAACCTACTGTACCTTCTTAAGGACTTACTTAAGGGCATCATATTATATAAGGAATCCTAAAACGTAGGTTGTTTGGGATTCAGGTATATGACAGATCTGACTCGCACGTAGCATCTAGGCGGCTTCGGGTTTTGGAACTGAGAGCTGATGGTTTAGGGTTTAGGGTTTATGGGGTTTCGGGGTTTAGGGTTTAGGGTTTATAGGCGTTTAAGGGCTTTGGGTTTAGCGGTTTAGGGTTTAAGGGTTTAGGGTTTGTTGGATCCCAGGGTTACCAGATCAGTGCCAAGCTGGAGTCGAGAGTTTTTTGTTAAGGGGGGTCGGGGGCTTGAAGGGTTCGGTGTTCATAACCCTAAACCCTAAACCCTAGGCCGTTGGGTCCTCAGGGGCGTCGGACCTTGGCGACCAAAGTCCAGTTCTACATGATCGGATGGCTTAAGATGCAGTAGGTTGGGATCTCTCAAGTTTACAAACCCTAAACCCTAAAACCCTAAACCCTAAACCCTAAACCCTCCCCCCCCCGAATGGAATCTCTGATGATTGAGGGTTTTAGGGTTTATCAGGCTTCAAGAGTCCAGGGCCTCAGTGAAAGCGTCTGAGTTGCTTGGAGAAAGTCGACCCCTTGGGTTTCGGGGAGAAATTGCCCAGACTATTCCTTTGCAAGTTTAGGGTTAAGGGTTTAGGGTTTATTATTCCTTTGCAAGTTTGGGGTTTAGGGTTTAGGGTTTAGGGTTGATTATTCCTTTGAAAGTTTTGGGTCGTTCTCAACTGAGCTCGCTGGACCGTACCAGAACCAGAGCCAGAACCATACTTTACTGTTCCAAAGGCTTCTTTACAATGTTCAGTTCATGATGTTCCCCAGCACCCTATTCTAATGAAGCATAAGGCTCCTACATGAAGCACCTAAGCCCTATACAGCTGACTGGGCTTCTAAGGGTAGCGAATGCTGCAGGATCAAACACTTTGGCCTTTCGACGCAGCTTTGCCTCGCCCCTGGGCACTCTAAGGGTAAGCCCCTTTCTGTCGCACAGGTGGTGTTTTTCTTCTGAGAGGGAGGGAGGGCCAGACCCAGTTGAACTTTACCTTCCAACTTCACCGTACGCTTATTGATCTGCGAGTGCAGGGCATGTTGGGTCCTTGGTTTAGTTTGAGGTTAGGGTTTGGTGAACCTTCGCCCGCAGCTGAACATCAAGCTGCACACGACAGGGCTTTGTTAGGAAGCCGTGGTGACATGGCGATAGGGGCAAGGAGCCTAGACAAGTGAGAAACGCTTAAACCAATCCAGAGGCAAGACGACGTCCTGAAAGGAAGTTTACCAACAGTCATGAGGAATAGCCCCGCACAGGTATCTGAACATTTCCAAGTTGGTTACAGCTCCAACCCGGAAGCTCTGCGTCATGGTTCATGGATACGTCTAAGTAGAGATGTACTGGCAGCTTGAGTATTGTCAAGCATGGAATTAGGTACTTGTAATTTGTAGCCGACCTGTGCAGAAGTACACCCGAGCCTTCAAACGGGACCACAACAAAGCCTGGTAGGCTTGCCCATGACAGCCCATTGACAACAGATTTCTCCGTGTCGTGCTTTAAACGCACACTGGTTACTCTAGGCGTGCGCAGACCAGAATTAGAAGCCTCTTGCTTCATAATTTTGCAAAACCCTGAAATAAGCGCTAGAGGTTCTTATGCCATTTGTGTATGTAAGTGTATGTGTGTATATATATATATATATGTGTATATATATATATATATATAGACGGACATACATATATATATATATATACATATGCATCGTGTGTTTCATGTTTGATTTTTCATTTGTTTATATTTGTAATATGAGGTTAGAAAGAGGTAGAATAAAATCCCGAAATCCTATAGAGCACCTCAACTCTCAACCCTAAACACTATAAAGCCTAAACGCTAAACCCCAAACCCTAAACCCTAAACACTATAAAGAACTCTTTGCCAGGTTTCGGTCTGCCACACCGACGAGGGCCGGATGGTGTTCATTGTCAGGCCAGCAGAGGTTAAGTCCAAGGTTAGAAGTATGGGCCCCTAATATGGACCCTTAGGGGGTTCTAGGGTCCCTCCAGGGTACATATAGGGAATATAGTAGGTATATAAGGGTCGCAGGGTTAAGGGCCCATACTCGGGGCCCGTGGGTTCAACCTTAGATTAAGGTTTAGGGCTTTTAGGGTTTAGGGTTCTTGTTTTAGGGTTTAATATAGGAGCTTTCATGATTACCTATATTATTTCGGGGGGCTTCCTTATTATAGTCTTACAGCTTCAGGATTTGGGTTCAGGGCTTGGGGTGTTTTCAGGGCATTTAGGGTTCGGGGTTTAAGGTTTTGGGGTCGGAAGCCCCATGGATCTTCCAGCCGCCACGGGATCGCGGCCAACGTGTTGCAAACGAGCAGCCAAGAAACAAACACACCCTGAAACCGAATTACACCCTGAACCTCAAGGCCATGATAGCCAGCCTTACAGGAACCCTTATGGAGCCCTTTAAAGGAACCCTCTACTTCTTCTGATGCTGTCCAGGGTGCTCCTGCCAATCCTTTCCCTGAAGCCGTGGAGATCGACTCTTTCCCGCATCAGACGTGCAGGGTAGTTTAGGGGTTAGGGGTTGGGGTTTAGGGTTTAGGGTGTTTGGGGTGTTTGGGGTCTTTAGGGGTTAGGAGTTTAGGGTGTAGGGTGTTTGGGGTTTAGGGTGTTTAGGGTTTAGGATTTAGGGTGTTTAGGGGTTGGGGGTTGGGGTTTAGAGTGTTGAGGGTGTTTAAGGATTAGGGTGGCTGAGAGGCCTTGGGGCTTAGGGCGTTTCTTGTTCCTGGGGGGTTTGGGTTTCGGGGGCCCAGGATTCCCCGGTCCAAACCCCAAGGGTCCAAAGGACCCAATAATCAGGTACTTAGGTTTCGGATAGTAGTTATGTAGGTTACTATTTGAGAGAGTGTGTGAGTATTAGGTACTTGGACCCTTATGGAAAGGTCTAGGTCCCACATACTCTGCACCCAACTAGTCTGAACGCACTGAGTGATTTTGGGAGAACCGGAAGCCCTACTTGGAGGTTCATGGGTAGTTATAAGTGGAGCTATATCTAGGGTAACTATAATTCATATATATACATATATATATATACATGTATGTACATATATATATATATATATATGTATATATATATATAACCCATATATGAAGGGACTTATTACCCCACTTATAACTAAGCAGGAGCGTATATCATCAGTGGGTACTTGGACCGGGTGCCTCAACCATAAAAGTCCGACCCAAGCCTTAAAGATCCCTAGCGTCGTAGAATCGGGGTTTAGGGTTTGGTTTAGGACCCTAAACCCCAAACACTAAACCCCAAACAGTTCAGGGTTTAGGGTTTGGTTTAGGACCCTAAACCCCAAACAGTTCAGGGGGCTTTAGGGTTTGGCCCTGGATACCGAGGTGCGGCAGCTGAAGGTGCAATCTACAGAGGATCCCTCGGACATTAGGGTTTAGGGGTTTAGGGG